TATCGATTGAAAATTATTTCTCAGAAAGGAGATTTCAATCGATACCATATTCAAATGTTCTTTCAAACAACCCATATATGCAGATATATTAAATGCAGCATGTTCGCTATCAATCAGTACAGAGAAAGAGTCTACTACTATCCATTGCTCCAGACCTGATGTGTTCAATGATTCAGCAAGAAAATAACAGTTTCCATGATCAGTTGAGACAGGTATTATATTATTATGTTGTATATGTGATAAATTTATTGATGTACAATCAGATGTTTGCATCCATATTTGTTCCGTTATGATTGACTGACACTGAAAAACGTTAGGAAAATACAAGATCAATATGTTTGTTCTTTTTCTACTCTTATCAAGAAGGGACAAGCTTTTTTGCAAATTCAATATCTTATTTCCAAAGATTTTAGAGATCCGCGAATCAATTCACCGGTAAAATGTTAGTGGATTCCTCAGTTTAGGTGAAATTGTTATAAAACGGTTTTAGTTTCCCTTCGTAGATCTCTCAAAAGCAAATTTTTGTCGAGTTTTGCTCAACTTATTAAGACTTCATTTTAAATTCAGTACAAACTTTAATGCTACATTACAGTTCAAAACATTTCTCTATACACTGAAATGAAACTTACTCCTAACTCAGCCCCACCATCAAAGATTAATTCTGATGAATTAATGCCATCAAATGATCCATCTGCAAATCGTGTATTAAAACGAATTATTTGATCTTGCGAAGTAAAATCATAATGAATTAGTTTGCCTTCAGAATCATGACTACCAAGTAAATCTACATTAGTTAAATCAACTTTTTCTAGCCACACAATACCGCCTATAAATGATGTTCGAACAAGTGTAGCTCCTATAAAACTATTATTATAAAAAATCAAATCACCCATGGTTGCATCCGGTGCATGAATTCCTCGAAAAGATGTATTCCAAATACTTGAATTAATCAATTTCGTATTTGACATCGAAGCATTGTCGAACACAGCATAATCTAATGTGCACCATTCAAAGATTCCGTTTGATAAATAGACATCAGGTAAATACAAATAATCAAGTTGTATTGATACTGTTGACGAACCAATAAATTCAAGTCCATTTAAATCAGCATCTTTTAATGACAGTCGTTCATTGGGCATGACATCACTTCGTAGAAGTCGACTTTCATAAAGAAATAAAACAATATCTCGTTTTCGATGAGCATCAACATTGCGAAGTACAGTTAATGTTTTTACACGAATATGCAGTAAATGTTCAGGATTACTACGATTAAATTTTGTATCAAGTAGAAGTTTAGAAATATCATTAATATAATTTTCAAAAGTCGATCGAATACTTAGTTCATCCGATTGTCTTTGATCTTGTTGACGATTTTTATTGGCAGTAGAATTTTGTTGAATTGTAAAAATAATTGTAAATACACCAAAGACAACCGAAGGTAAAGCGGCTAGAATAAGTTTACTTATCTTTAAACAATGACCGCCGATTTTTTCCGATGGAAAATTAAAATCATTAGAGGAGGTTTGACGAGATTTCAATGATAATTTCATTATGCGTGTGAAAGAAAAAAATAAAGTCTGTTTGATATTATACGAAGAGATTTATTAACTATTGAGTAGGATTAACATTTTTTCATATTTGAAAAGATTAAACCATTATTTTAATTGGTATATTTAACCTTTTATTTGATCGAAGGAATTAGTCATTGTTTAACGTCATCTTTTGTACTATGACGTAGATAATAGTCGACATTTAATGATATTTTATATTTAACATATACACTAACGAGGACACCGCCCGAAGTGATTCAAAGCTTTTTCACTGATATTTAACACATACGTAGGACGTGATGTAGGTATGAATAAATTTTCACTCTATTCACACTACGCCTATCTTACCCTCATCCACGTTGTAAATTTTAGTTTACATGAACAATGATCTTCTTTATGCAGATATATAAAAAAAAGTTAATTTTGAAATAGTGACAGAAAATATGTTCTTTATTAATGAATGAATATACAATATTAATCGAAGAAACTCAATACGGATAAAGCATTTAAGTGTACGTAGTTAATGGAACGATTTGTCGTTGATGTCTTTTCCAAAAGAACAAACTGCGAAGTTTTTGTTTTAATCCAGGTAGTGTTAATAGAGTAGCATAAGGCAAAACAATTGCAGGAACATATGTCAAACTTGCAACATATGGTTGGATAATATTACTGGCAAAATTTGGATAACCACATGATTGTACAAGAAAAATGATAACATAAGGAAGATCAAACATAAGATAAGTTGCAGATACAAGTGTAAGTTGAATGGTCATTTTTCGACATTGACGCCATGTTACTGCTTGTTGTAAACGTTGTTTTTGTCTAATAAATCGTAGTAAAAGAGAAATACTAAAAACAACAATAAGAAGTATGGGAATTGTGTAATCTACGAATGAATCATATACAAGAAACCAATTCGGAATTGTTGCATAAAAGCAGATCCCACCACAAAGGAGACTTGTACTGTCAAAATCCTCATCACATGGATAAAGAAAAATTAAATAGAAATATAATAGTGGTGCATACAAAGAGAAAAATATGAGTGGAATATAATGAACGAGAACAAGTTGGCCTGTACTTCGAACAAAATTTGAATGAAATACAAGAATATGTCTTTCAAATGATGCCCACATCATCAAAGAAATACCTCCATACCATATTCCATTGTCTACCAATTGCCAAAAACGACAAAGAGTAGGAGAAAAAAGTGATACATATCCAACACGATCACGATCCAATGTTAACGATAAATCAAATGTAACTCCAAGAAAATTGTAGAACAATAAGATTATAATGACATGATTATGAAGAGCTTTACGTGCAGATTTCTCAAAAATAATATGATAGGCAACGAAGAAATAACAAGGAATAGACAAGATTTGACCCAATACGAATAGTGAAAACTCGGCTTTTGGCCAATATGATGGAACATTGGTTAATGTTGAAGGAAAACTTCCCATTTTTCAAAGAAAATATCTATAGAATTTTAATCACTAGTTTTCTTAGATTTATATAACTGTTACTTATCGAAATTCTATCCTAAGGAACAATTTAGTATTGTAAAAACATTATACTAACCAATATCTAGGCAGGAAATTTGACAAGATTGTACTTTTTCTAATGTGTTTCCAGTTTATACGTCCGCATTTTATATGAACAATATATTCATTAGACTGAAATAAAGGATAGAATTAGAAAATACTGTTACTTCAAAACACTCAGAGGACTTCTTTTTGCATGAGAATAAATATCACAACTTATGTGATGTTATTTGCGTATTGTCGTAATAACGTAGTTCTCTCACTGAAAAAGTTGTCCGCGTAATTCTAGCGGAAGTGAAATGCCTGTCATGATAATATTTCAATTCAAATTCTAGGTAGCATGTGTTTGATGGTATATCACCAATATAGTTCTGAATATGCTACATTCTCGATAAAAGTAGTGTCTGTTGTACATAATATCGTCTCTAAATGAATATAACCTTAACTGTAACATATAGTATATAAAATTCTAATACATCAAATAGTGATAGACTTTAATTAGTTCAAATATTATTTGGAGGAACTCGATTCGAGGCACACTCATTTATATTCACATAAGATTCAATGAAATTAAGTTCTATTTCTAAGTAGATTCTCACTCGTTGCTCATCTAGTAACGTTTGAATACTCATAAGAATCTATTATTTAGCATAAAAATGTTGTTCGATGAGTATTTACCTTTTTTACTGAATAGAAAGAAACTTCTCTTTCTCTCTTGTTAAAATAATCCAATAGAAAAAAAATAATTTCTTTTTTTTTATTGTTAGTGCGTCTCATGGATGCGGAATTACATTTTAAAAACCTGTCATTAAGATTAAATTATTGAATAAGAATTGATTACTCTTCAAATATGACATGCGTACACATTAAAACTTCATAATCATGATTCTATTTGATAATTCTTCCAGAAAAATATAAACAACAGAGCATAACTCATTATTATGATAGATAAACATGTTGTGAAAATTACTGGAAAAATATCACAAAGAGAATAATTTGATAAGTGAATCGTTTTGAGATGTCTGCTTACATTATTAATTATATACATCTTATCATTTTTTATTATCGTCACAACCATTCACGAACCTTTATGTAATGGTATTTTTGACTATAAACTGAAGGACCAGCAGGGCAAGGCCCCTTCAGAGTCTTTTTAAATCTTCATCAATTATACTATGAGGTGAAATAGATATTACTTCGATTTAAAGACTACCGTACAGCATCTTTATGTTATTCGTAGTCAGTACACTTATTTATTCAATAACAAAATCTTACATAAAGAAAAATACATTCACTTTTTTTGTATTAAAGTTCTGTACTCGAAGTAACCGATCGTTGAAAAGTTTAGTTTTTTTCGCCGATTAGTTACTAATAAGCAGTTTGTCTATGTATATATTTGATATCATCTTGTTCCTCCTCAGCGGTATAGTAATCATTTGAAGAAAAAAACCTTCACTATCATTAACTAACACACTTGTAAAAAGAAAGATTCAAACAAGAGAATCAGCAAAAAGAATGAGAAGAAATTACTTCTATGATGGTTTCGTCTTATTCGGAAAATTTTTATATCGAATCGATGTTTTTGTAACTTAATAATTCAGTTCTTGCTATTCCATTATAAATTTTTATAAAGTTTCTAAAATTATGTACAACAGATTAACATTGCGTTCGATATTGATTTGACTTGTACTGAAGTAGTGTTATGGTAACACTTCTGCTTGGCAAGATTTTATTTATACAATGTGAGGTTATATATCTTTCATTTCTGGTATTTCAGATTCTGAGGTATTGAAATCAACTGGAATCAGTAGAATCTGACATAATTTCAATATTCTATTGATTGGAGTTTATCAAGTTGACTTAACAAATTTATTTGACTTATTATCTTCGCAGAAACGTAGAGCAGTACATTGAAAGATTCAACTCACTGTTTCATATATCATAAACTTTGATGTAACGTAGTAAAATGATCAAAGGCTTAGGGTTTACCAAGCTTACGCGTTCGGCCACCTTTGTCTAAATTGAGTTTTTGCATTATTGGTGAACATATTCTATCAATTTCTTTTAATTGATATTCAAATTCTTCTTTTTCAACAAACTAAAACAAACAAATAAAATAAAAACAATAATAATATTTCTCTTACATCATGAATTTCCAACCATTTTAACGTGTTTCCAATAGCATCGATCATTTTCTTCATATCATAACCATTTATTTTCTCTGCTAATTTTTGATCATTGATTGTTGCTTGTATATTAAAACAATATGATTCAAGTGATCTCTTGGCTTCATTACAATCACGTCGTATTTCATCTTCGTTTTTATATTTTTCAGCATCAGCAATCATACATTCAATTTCTTCTTTTGATAAACGTCCTTTATCATTTGTAATTGTGATTTTATTTTTATTGGCAGTTGATTTCTCAACAGCTGAAACATTTAAGATGCTATTTGCATTAATATCAAATGTAACTTCGATTTCTGCTACACCACGAGCAGCTGGTGTAATACCAGAAAGTTCGAATTTGCCAAGTAAACGGTTATCTTTTGTCATTGCACATTCACCTTCAAAAACTTTCATTTTAAAACTAGTTTGATTATCTGAATGAGTTGAAAACGTTTGTGTTTTTTTTGTTGGAATTGTTGTATTGCGTTTAATTAATGCTGTCATAACACCACCAGTTGTTTCGATACCCAATGAAAATGGTGCAACATCAAGTAAAAGGAGATCTTCAATGATTTCCGATTTATCACCTGTTAGTATAGCAGCTTGAACAGCAGCACCATATGCAACAGCTTCATCTGGATTGATAGATCTGTTTAATTCTTTGCCACCAAAGAAATTTTTTAGAAGTTTTTGTATTTTTGGAATATGTGTTGAACCACCGACGAGTACAATTTCATGAATATCTGATTTATCCATTCTAGCATCACGTAAAGCTTTTTCAACTGGTTCAGTTGTTGAATGAAAAAGATCAGCACAAAGTTCTTCAAAACGAGCACGTGTTATTGTTGAACAGAAATCAATACCTTCATGAAGGCTATCAATTTTAATTGAAGCTTGTAATGAAGATGATAATGTACGCTAGAAAAGAAAAGTAACGATTAATTTAATCAAATCAAAATAAAAAGAAAGTTCAATCGACCTACTTTAGCATGCTCACAAGCAGTATACAAACGGCAAAGATTATGTTTATTTTGTGATAAATCTTTGTTATTGATTCGTTTAAATTCTTTAACAAAATGTGCTACCATTCGATTATCGAAATCTTTACCACATAAATATGTATCACCAGCTACTGATTTGACTTCGATTATTTGTTGTTCAATTTTAAGTACTGATACATTAATATTACCACTACCCAAATCAAAAACAAGAATATTTCTTTCACCGGATACGTTCTTATCCAAATCATAAGCAATAGCAGCAGCTGTTGGTTCATTTATAAGACGTAATACATTTAGACCAGCAATAACACCAGCATCTTTTGTTGCTTGACGTTGTGAATCATTAAAATGAGCTGGAACACTAATAATAGCTTCGGTAACTTTTTCTTCAAGATAAGCTTCTGCTATGCTTTTCATTTTTGTTAATATCATTGACAATATTTCTTCAGGTGTAAATACTTTTGCTTCATTTTTAAATTCAATTAGAATCTTTGGTTTATTATGATCATTAATTACTTTATAAGGCCAAAGTTTCATGTCATGTTGAACAGTTGGATCATAAAATTGACGACCAATAAGTCGTTTAGCATCGAAAATTGTATTATTTGGATTCATAGCTACTTGATTTTTAGCTGGATTACCAACTAAACGTCCATTATTAGTAAATGCAATATATGATGGTGTTGTTCTATCACCTTGTTCATCAGGAATGATTACAACTTTACCATTTTTAAATACAGCGACACATGAATAGGATGTACCCAAATCAATACCTATCGCTAGAGTAGCCATTCGAAATTGCAGTAAGAGGAAATTTTCTAATTTTCCGATAAGGTTTTTTATTCAGTGATTTTCTTTTTTTAAGCTTTTGGACACTTTGAGAACTAAACATAAATGATTAACGTAGTCGATATGAAGAAAAGATTATTTTAAATGAAACACGAACAAATTCTTTTGCTACTGAAGGAACATAGTCATTCTTTACTTATCGTATAATTTAAAGCATCATCGGCCAAAAAACACAAAGCAAACGTTGTTCGTCTCTATGCAAATATATCGACAGAGAAAGCGAAGACGAGTGTGAGATAAATAGAATACATCTACCCACACTCATATTCTGGTTAAGATACTTATTCAACTAGCGAAGATGTGTGGTATTTCGCTCACTATAAACTATCTAACAGTCACATGTATCCCTCTGACTACTGTAGATTATAAAACATGAACTTCATATCATTAGTAAAATGCGAATACGTAGGTGAATATGGAAGAAACTACGAAACTTTTGAAAGAAAGAAAAACAATAGATGAGAATAAACTCATTTGGTACGATGATTGTTGCTTATCGATTTTTGACGTATACAGTCGTTTATGATTGTAATTTTTTGGACTGAAATGATGTAGACATAGCAAAATAGACGTTGGATGGTTGCAGGCAATTAGAAAATTAAAATCATTTCATCTAAAATTGATTTATAAATATATTCATAAAAAATATCAAAATTTCTTTGGTGAAACAAATATTCCCACAAAACTTGGTAGTTTCGTTTCATTTCAGTCAAAAGTGTACTTTTTTTTCGTGTATGTTGACGTTGTTCGTCTGTTAGCTTCGTTTACAATATTCCGTCATATATACACAGTGCTGATAATATATGATGTGCTACACAACTATAAGTTACCAATATTTACCGACGAAGATAAGAATAAACAACGCAAAAAGCCACATGGTGTATATCTAACTGCAGAAAAGCGGTAGAAAATTAGGCAAGATTTCTCTTTTCCAACATCAACGTTTAGAGTGTGGGTTGAGCGATTATAGGCACTCACACGCATACTCTCAATATCAGATCAAATAGATGAAATTAATTTAATATTTAGTGATATGATGTCGGATAAATATCGCAATAACAATTTGAATGATAACATAATACTGCCGGTTTTGTATATTCTTTCTTATGATTATTCTTTCATTTATTCATGCAAATAAATGAGTATCATTATAACTTTGAAAACTATTGCACTATACTCCGGAAAGTATTCAAAAGATTAAATCTTGCTTTAAATTCTATTCTAAGATGTAAAAGCTATTAATTCGATTGTTTATAATCAACTATATTTCTATAAACTGAAAAGAAAAGAATCACTCTGTAAAACAATACACCATAAACAATGATTAGGATGTGGGTGGTATTAGACATCCTTCATCAACCAGTCATATACACATCCCATACTTGTTCATCTACTATCCCGCATGCATTTACTTTGAGTTTCCGATGTAGATTGCATATTTAATACGAGAGAAAGATTTCACATGTTCCATATGACTTTAGAACTCATAAAATTGTCACATTACTGAAAAAGAAAATCAGATGTATTGCAGAGATGCACAATAAATCCAAAAGTTGAACGAATATTTGTATTAATTTTACTAAGCAAAACGTCTGAAGGAAATAAAGACGTCATTAACTTTGTTAATTTTTCTGATACAAACATAGCGATGCATTTTTTTCTATCCACAAATAAATTTACTTCGGTTACCATCTGTTTTCTTTTCATACACAATCTTTGTTAAGTAATATCATTTTCTTTATTTTAATTATAACAAATGCGCATTTTCTTAAGGAAATAATAGAAGAAAAAAATTCTGAAAAAGAGATAAAGAATTACTGAAATTACTTTGAAACGGTGAAAAGCAATTTATTTTAATATATCTATTCAATGAAACGTTTTATTTTCATATTCACAATAAGGTGAATGCGATTAAATATGGTTTTCTTTAGTAATTAAGGAGACAAGTGGTACACTTCGTTTAAAACCATAGTCTATTATACAGCTGTCATAAGAAAAAAGAAAGTGCGATAACTAGTTTTTTAGTATGTTGGTAGAATAAAAAATAGTTATAGAATGTGGAAAGAGAGAGAAAATAAGATGATATTTATTGTTCTATCGCTGAGTTGCATTGCATTCAGTAGTAAATTTCTTTTTTTAACTGGCAGTCTTGCTAGTTATGACTTGGAAAAGAAATTGTGTAGCGTTTCTATTTGTTCTTCTTGTACAATCAGTCGCTCAAGATATACGTTCATTTATGATGTCTGAAATGGTTGGCTGGCAATTTAATTGTGCTAGTACAACTTGTTTACCATTTTCTAGTCTTATTGTATCGGACATTTTCAAATGCGAACTGGCTTGTCTAGCTCAAGTACAATGTGAAGCAATTAGTTTTCATCAATCAACTACTAAGTGTGAATTATTTGCTAACATAACGAATCAAAATGGGAATATGTCGGCCAATAATGATATTGTGACTCTGATTGTTATAGATCAAACACGATTTGCATCAGGTTAGTATAATCACAACACTATAATAAAGATATATTAGAGAGTAAAAAATCCATTTTCTTTTCTCAACTGATCGGAAACTATTACGTTCCAATACTTAAATCAAAGTAGAATTCTTTTTAAAAGAAATTTTCATTTTTTCACCTACCAAGCAGTTTCGGAATTACTAACATATCAAAGTACTACCAGGTAGGTGTGCCATGCTGGGCACCCGACAGTTGCACACAGATGGTGAAGCATACTAAAAAGGATACCCACATCCACACCCATACCCTCAAGATGAGAGTGCCTTGAAAGAAATAGCCGTAGTGGGAGACGAGAACGAGAATGAAGAGTGAGGTGAGCTGAAAAGTAGAAATTGAATATTGCCGCGCAATATAGTGCTGAGGTAATCATATACCGACACTTATTAATTTGAATATTTAACCCTTTTGAATCTTATTTTACACTGTATTATACATTAAATCATTCTTCTATCAAAAGCAGATCTTATGTAACGCGTATGATGCATCAAATTATGAAAGTGAATCATATTCGGTAGGATAAAATGAAAAAGTTTATATGACATACCTAAGTTTAGGTACATGCTTTATCATAGATATCTCTTCTCCGAAGAAGGCAGCAATCTATATAACTCTACATTATAATTGAATATCTTCTTTTTTGACGACGTGGATGTATTCTTCTAATTACTTCTTGATAATATATTAAAATTAAGATCAAAAATTTCATGTTAATCTATCTTAAACTCTTTTTTTTCATAGTTACAGTTCCTGCAGCACACTGGAACCCTAGTGGCACAACTATGGCTGGCAATCCTAGCGGTACAGCAGGAGTAGGTGCAAGTCAGTTGAATAAGCCTTATGTTTTGAGACTTGATTCATCAGATGCTCTCTATATCTCTGAGTTGGATAACAACAGAATACAAAAATGGATCATAGGAAATTCAAATGGTGTCACTGTTGCCGGACAGGCAGATGGAACATCAGGTGCTTCCTCTACTACCCTTAATCAACCAGTCGGTCTTGCAATCGATTCAAGTGACAACATGTACATCGCAGATAAATACAATAATCGGGTAATTTACTGGGCAAATGGTGCATCGTCTGGTTCGATGATCGCTGGAACAGGTAAGAGAAATGAGAAAAGTTTATTCTCTATTATACTCAGAACATCATATACTTATTTCTTAAAAGTGCGTCACCAAATAATTATTTAATAGCTTTGATCTTCATCGAACATTCTTACTACTATTATAAAAACAGTTCAAAAAGCTTTTCAAATACTTTGACTTTCTTACAAATTGTCTTGTAAAATGGACATGGAGGAGAAAATATTTGTTTGTATTTAAAATTTAATATTTAGGCCAGAAAAGTCAACAGATTCACTTGTTATACATATATCGATAAGTAGATGAATAGTAATTCGATACAACATTCAAGGCAATATTCTTTCACGGACGTATTCCTATAATTTCAAATAACAAGACTGATCAATTCTATACTGAATAAAATCCCATTTTTTATGAGTTTTTATTTAGTATATAATTCATCAGTCTTGCTATTTGGAATCGTTTTTGAGCAATATAAACAAAAATAAATAAAGTATTCAAACAATTTAGTCCTGTTTTCGAACTAGATGTCATTACCAAAATAAAATAGAAATAAAATGCAAGAATCTGGGAATCTTTTCATAAAACATCATTGTATTCGAATTGTCTTTAGGTTCCTATGGAAGTGCAAACAATCAGTTAAGTTATCCTAATATGATCGAACGTGATACTAGCTCGGGCACTCTGTACATTGGTGATGTAGGAAATCAACGTATAATGCAATATCTTAACAGTAGTTCATCAGGCACTTTAGTGGCTGGTGGAAATGGTTACGGAACAGGCAGCACTCAGTTATGCAATCCATACGGATTTACTCTGGATTCATCGACTAATAGTTTGATAATTGCCAGTTATAGTGCTCATAATGTAGTTCGTTGGGTGATAGGTGATACTAGTTGGACACTTCTTGTTGGCAGTACTGGAGTAAGCGGATCTTCGTCGACACTTTTAAATAGTCCAGTTGGTGTAGCAGTAGATCAATATGGAAATATATATGTAGCTGATTCAGGCAACCATCGCATCCAATTCTTTTTATCTGGTCAATCTAGTGCTACTACAATTGCCGGTGTCACCGGTTCGTCTGGCACAAGCGCTACTCAATTAAATTACCCATATGGAGTAGCACTAGATAGTCAATTCAATTTATATGTGGCAGATAGCAGTAATAATCGAGTGCAAAGATTTGCACGGTACTGAAGATGTGTCGGTATGGGTGCTGATCATTATGGATATGTAGCTATGGCAATAACTGAGAGCTGACAATAAATATAATACTTACATTCTTCTTCTTTTTTTTTTGTTTAATTAATTACATATTTATCATAATGGATTCATTGAGATTCAAGAGCTTTTGTTCCTAAATTTATCTATGCTAATAAATTTTCATTGTTCTTTACTTCGCTTATGTCTCCTAAAACAAAAATATGTGGCGTATATCTTTCACTATTGTTGTCATTTTATAGCAGCATATCTTCTTGAAAAATAAATATTAAGCAAGAGATTAAACAGTTCTAAATCTATATAAATAAAGTTGGTGTGGGTGTCAGAGTAGAGTTAATGTAATATCCACACCCTCAAGGGTAGTGTTTTTAGTAGAGTAGTAAAATGTTAATGAATAAATAAAAGTTGATCATCGATAAGCCTTAATAATTCAAGAGAACACCGATGTTGTTCGAACCAGAGTTTGCAACGATAATATCAGGTTTACTGTCGTTATTCACGTCAGCTATTACTACCGAAACTGGGTTATTGCTAACTGAGTAAGTTGTTTGGGCATTAAAGGTGCCATTGCCTGTGTTGAGCAAAACACCGACGTTGTTGAACCATAGTTTGCAACAATAATATCAGGTTTATTGTCGCTATTGACATCAACGACTGCTACTGATATTGGATTAATGCCAACTAAGTAAATAGTTTGAGCATTAAATGTGTCGCTGCCTGTGTTGAGAAGAACACCGACAGTATTCGAACCATAGTTTGCAATAATAATATCAGATTTATTGTCATTATTCACATCGACGACTGCTACTGATATTGGGTAATAACTAACTAAGTAAGCAGTTTGAGCATTAAAAATGCCACTGCCTGCGTTGAGAAGAACACTAACGGTGTTCGAACCATAGTTTGCAACAATAATATCAGGTTTATTGTCACTATTGACGTCGATGACTGATACTGACCATGGGTCTGTGCCAACTGAGTAAGTAGTTTGAGCATTAAAGGTGTCATTGCCTGTGTTGAAAAGAACACCGATATTGTTCGAACCAGAATTCGTAACAATAATATCAGGTTTATTGTCACTATTCACGTCAGCCACTACGACTGATGATGGGTTAGTGCCAACCGAGTAAGTAGTTTGAGCACTAAAGGTGCCATTGCCTGCGTTGAGAAGAATACCGACATTGTTCGAATTATAATTTGCAACAATAATGTCAGGTTTATTGTCATTATTTACATCGATGACTGCTACTGACCATGACATTACGCCAGCTGGGTAAGTAGTTTGATTAAGAAATAAACTGTGGGCTATGAAAATAAAATTATTTTTTGTATTTTAAATGACTTAGAGACAAAAAGTCATCTTTGAATTCTTTAGTGTTTACATAACGTTGCCTCAGTTCGCACTAAGACGGTGAACAGGGTCGTATAGTCTTTTTTTGAATATTTTTCGATACTCTCAAATCTAAGTGAAATACTCTTTTGCTCCATTCTGTACGCTGTCTCACAAAATCTCCTAATCGACAAAAACAAATGACTATATGGAATTGAAAGTTAGTTTGTTTCATTTTGCATTCTTTATCTACTGTAATGACACTCTGCATAATGTTCTTTCTCAAAAATTTAACTTGATTCTGTTCTAAATTTAATCTAATACCAAAATGACATTTTTAAATCTCGTGAAACAATTTCTCTTTTCAAAATCTGATATAAGCATTAAATATTTAGTCCCATACTCACCACTTGTTGATGTTGTCGTTGATGGTATTGTTGTCGGTGTTGATGTTGACGTACTCGATTCTGTTTCGAAAAATTGAGTTAATATAAGACAAGAAAATATTGGATAAGACTTTATTAAGAATCTAACATTTCTCGGTCTACTAATTTAGTTCATTTTTTGTCAATGACTCTATTCTGAGGACAGATACTAATGATTAGCAAACCCCTCAAATTACAATTAGTGAGAAATATCATTCATATGAGCAAGTTTTTTTAGAATTAAAAAAGCATAAATGTCAAATTCATTCAAATTATATGAATTTCAATCTATAAGGAGCTATGATATGTTTCCACTGTTACTAGATGAAAACCTGTAAGTCATATTTGAAATAAACTTACGATATTCTTGAATATTTAATACTGATATTGACGATTGATTAATAAATACAAAAGTGGAATTTGAATAAAATTCAATATAAACTGTACTAATATTTGAACGAAATAGTTGACAAGTTTGATTTGTGGAAAAATAATTTAAAGCAGATATTGAATCATTTACTTTTATCATTTCACATATACATTGATCTTGTGTCACATCGAATAAATTATTATACATATCACCAACTATTATATGATTCTGTACTTTAGCAATAAGAATAGAATTGCAAATAGAAAATAATGATAAGAAAAATATTTGACAAAACATGTTGTACTTCTTTACTTTCTAAAATATTTTATGAATGTTTGACGACCCGTTATCACTATTCTTTTTCTTTTTTTTTCTACAACGCTTTTTCTCTTTAGTTTAATAATTATTCATTCCAGAGAAAAACGCGCCATACGTTTTATAACAGTTTTCTTTGTTCAACAAAAAAATATACATCTATAACTACACTATGTTGTTCTTATTTATTTAACTATTTAGTGGATTAAATTCGTCATCATCAAGATATTAACAAAAGAAAAAAGTATGAACGACCATATTCGCTTTGAAAGTATTCTCTTTTTAATTAAATTGGCCTTTTAAAGAATTTTTTAAATATTACGAAATACAGAGAAAAACGGCGGTGATAACAGAGATAAACACATATTCTATTGTTTTTTGTTGATCTTATCGAATATTATATTATTTATAATATTTTTTCCCCGTAAATCAATATAGCCTCACTATCTTCTCTAATGAAATAGAAAACTAAGACTAGTTTCTAATTGAGACCATATAACACTGTTTTCTATAAGAAAATACAATTTTTCGATTATTGATACGTTTCTTTGAGTTATAATCTAAAGATTCACTCAAAAAACTATGCACGATAATACATTTTCTAACTAGAAAAATTTCAGTTAAAACAGTGCACATCGTTTAAAAATAGCTTTTTTTATAAAAGAAGTTTATATTTGTTATGAACATCACTCATAATATATACTTAGTTATATTGTTTTAATGACGGCTACTTAAGCGCTAAGTAATTCTAAATGAAAACTAAGTAAAAAATTCTATTTTTGCAAAATGATTTATTGAACACAAGTCTGAGTAGGAAAATTTTTTTTATTAAGTAATTTATATAAATTCTCAATGAAAACACTTATTTTCTTTCTCGTAGAGAAAAGTCTTGCAAGAATAAATTGTTTGCTTGTGAGCCCGTAGAGTAAAAAGAACATCGAAGACCGATTTTCAGAAAAAGATATTTCTTGAGGTATTTTGTTATGGGGAATTCAGATGTGCGCCTCATTTGCTTAGACTACTGAACAGGGGTATGGATTGGGAGAAGTGGCGTGGACTGATAAAAACTGAGTTTTTGGGTAATGCATTTTTATGGATATCCAAATGTTCCCTGCTTGTAGTGCAGAGTGTGGCGATCATAAACGGTTGGCTTTCTTGCGTATAGGACTACTAACATTACACTTCTTCGTTAACGGCTTGATTGAGAAGCCACTGATGCCGACAGCTCAAATATGTTTTGATCTACGTCTACCTCTGAGTAGGATGCGAGTATTTACTAAGAACAAGAAATGACAAAGGAGAGCATGATTTTAAATTTTTCTTTTAAAAATATATTTTCACAATAATTATATACTCAAAATACCGTGTCTAGCTTTTACTTTACGGAGATATGTATAAAATGATATTATATTATTTAATCATTGATTATCTTCCAATAATATATGTTTTAATCTTGTTTATTAGTATTACTTCTATCTTGAGAATTTTATTCATGTGAAATATAGTACAGCAATATATATATTATAATTCTCTCTTATCATATATCTTGCCATTCTTTTTTATTCCCTTCTTTATTTTATTTTTCTTCTCTTCTTTTCAGATATAAAGATTCACATGCTCGTCTTATATGTTGATATACATTTAGTAAATAGGACAAAAAAACAAACTTAGACGAGGTTTAATAAATAATTTTCTCAATCTTAATATCAGTAAGTTATTCAAAAGAAAATTAACTTTAATGGGAAAAATACATTTTTTCCTATTTTTCATGTTGATTTTAATGACCTATTTTAAGGTATCTAGTGGATCGCTTACATTCACGCTACTTGTTTTCAATCTTAAGTGAAATCAGTAAATATGTTTTTTATTCATATTTTATTCTGGATTTATTTTCGATGTTTGTTTTTATCGTGTTTCTAATAAAACTGATATAGGTGTATATAATAAAATAATATATTTATTATATTTAGATGGCTAGTATAACGAATTCAACTTACAAATTATTTGATGATTATCCTTTTCAGCGAATTAGTAAGTTAATTGTTTTTCAAATTTAATGAAATTCTATAAACCAGAAGAAAGTATGATTTTTCTTTCTTTTTTTATATAGATAAAAATTATATTTGTAATTATTCAAATTGTTTGTTTTCATGTTTGTCAAGACATGGATTATTGCATTATATTAAAATTTCATATACGACTTTTTTTGAAGAATCCCCCAGGTCAATGATTGCTGAACTATTATTCCAAAAATTTCCGGCGAAAACCTTCAGTAAATTCTCCGTTTTGGGAGGAGTCCTACTAGAAAATGCCAAGAATTCGACCCTAGAATCGTTTCCTGATGGAACCGGCCGTTTCCATGCCGGATTGTTCGATCTGGATTATTCGGAACAATAGCAAGTATGTGATCTTACTTTGAATGAATTGACAGTTTTTGTTAGTTTCTACTTGCTTGTGTCAATGAGAATATACCGTTATTGAACGGTCAAAAATAAAACAATAGTCATTGTTTATATTGACTATTATCATTTTTTTT